ATTAAAAAATGAGAAGAAAAGATGAGTATACTGCAAAGGCAGCTTTATAAAATAATAGTCAATAACTGGATTAAAAACTAAACGCATTCAGTAAAAACCAGTTACCATTTGACCTCTTCTTTGCAGTCTTCAAGTTTCCAGACTTTTTCCCCAAAACATCATTTAAGCTCCGAAGTTTCTTTTGCTTCACATTCTGCACTGTAGGAGTGGAATCACTCAGGCTGGAATCTAAAATTATTACGGATTCCTAGAGGGAAAGCAAATAAAATAAGAAAGAAACGCAACTTTTCCTCCTTTATTACTGATACAATTTAGTGATCAGTACTGAGGAAACTGCTAGAGTGCTTAGTTTGCAAATATAATTTGAAGATTATGTAATACTTTTATTACTGTTGTCTATACAGAACTAGTATATAGAATAAGATCTCCAATATCTAAATAAAGGCCAGAATTACTCTCATCTAAATTTAAATGTCTAAACCATACACATTTGAAACAGACACCTTGCTGCCCCTTAGGAAAGAAAAACAGTCACTTCTAGAGCCTGACCCTCTGCTGCATGTTCTAGATCTGCATTAGGATGAGCTTTCCAGTCTGTGCCTGGCAGTTACTTTACTATTTGACATTTACCATAGCATTGCATAGGTATCTACCTTATTTCATTCTTTTAAAGAAACATTTGCAAGATAGAAACATTGTTCTTAAGTGAATCACAAAACCATCAAATTCATTCCTCCCCACCCCCCCAAGTATACAGGCTTACTTCACTTTCTGGTATTTTTTTCTTTTCAGCAAGAGCTTGCTGGCGAGACGAGCGCCTCACAGGAGCTGGTGAGTCTTCATTAACCTTTGATCTGTTATGCCGTATAGCCTTTGCTTTTTCAATCAGCTGTTTTGCTTTGGACATATTTTTAGAAGTAGAACTTATCTGTTAACAAAGTACAAAAGTACCTAGCAATTAATAGCGATACACTTGGTAAGTATTTCACATATTAATACAATTTTTCACACTCATAAAAGCACGTGATTTTTATACACTTTTGCTTGCATCAGAATGAAAACAAAAGAATGGAAAGGAGGAGCAAACCGAGATGATATAAATAATTGTCAAAAGGGAGTGAGAGCTCTACAAGGGGATCCTCCGATTTGTGCCCAGAACAAACAAAATAAGGGTAGTAAATTCTTAAACATTAGCTGTTCTGCTGTAGCCAAACACTGTGTCCCATCCTGAGAACATGCAGAACATGAGCATACTATTTTATTGGGTTTTTCTGTTATGAAAACTAGATTTACACCAATAAAACATGTTTTAAAATCTAAGGTACAATAACTGTACAAGAAACTCTCTCAAATCAAACAATAATAGTCTCTTTCCGTAGGGCATCTGAGAAATGTCATGTTGTATTACATTACACTAGTACACAATAGTGAATATGAACACAATTTTATGCATATGGCAAATGACAAAACACTGAAACACAAAGTGCTACATAAATTACCTTTGTATTTTTGGAGGTCAACTCTTCATTTTTCATTGCTTCAGCTTTATTTGATTTTGTAGTCGCATTGATACGTGTAAACCTCATTCTAATTAGGGGAAAAAGCATTATGAAATTATTACTTTTTAGTAAAGGGAAATGTTACTCTCCATCCAAGTTTCAAAAGCCTTTAAAAATACAGTGCTGCAAACAGAAGCAACCCCTCAGTTAGTGGTGCTGTTGTTTGTTTGTTTTGACATTTAAAAAATATCTTTAGATCAAGCACATTTATAAAGTCAACTTTGTTTCTTTTGTACTATTATCCAACACAATCCGTACTCCCGCAGCTTTGGTATGCATTCCAGTCAATTTATGTCTTACTCTTAAATACTTGTGGTAAAACAAAGTGCAAGAAGGTAGACAATACTCTAAAATGTTTACCTTATTGGGCTGTTTCCATCCAAGGGCACAGTAATCACCTCAGCTTTATACATGTTACTTTTCTTCAAGGATTGCCTGCTTGTTTTTGGTGTAGAAGTCTGAAAAGGAGAGCCACTTAATTCGTCTTCAGAAAAGGTACTTCTACGCCTAGGTTTTTTAGGTGTAACATTTTTGGATGGTTTGATTTTCCTCTGCCTTAAACTCCTTCTTAACTCATTCACTTTTGGACTCGATGGAATTTTTACATTTAAGCTGTTTTCCTTTGAAAGGACACTGGCTCCTGGATCTTCATTGCTAGTATTTGAGACATTTGTTTCCTTAGTTCCTGAAGCCTTCCTTCTTCTCTTTCCTTTTTTCTGAAACTTTTTAGGTCTTTTGGTCTTAGTTCTACTGTTTTCAGGACCAGAATGTGTATATTTGTCCACATAATCTTCTGGTACTTCACTTTCTAATCCTTTATTTGAAGCAGTATCATCTTCAGGTCCTTCTTTTTCTTTTGAAGACTTGCCTACGGCTTGCTTTTGTTTTCCAGGTGCCTTTTTAACTCCACTTTTTATCACATCTGATGCTGGTTGTCTAAAAGCCTTCATGAACTGATGCCTTTCTTCCACAGTACATTTTGGCTTCAAAGAATCTGACCCTGCAGTCTCTAGTACCGCTAACTCCAATTCTTCTTCCTCGATAACTACATTAGATTTTCTTTTCTGAGTAACCTGTTCAGTTTGTTCACTGTCCAGGAGGGGTGGGCTACTTTCTTTTTCCACTACACATCCTTTCTGCCTCAAAAAAATGGAAGCTATTTTCCTAGAGCTTTTTTGCTCCTTATGTAAAGGAGCTAATTTGGGGGGAATGGAATGAACTTGTGCGAGGACAGTTACTGTCCTAAGTGGCAGCTGTTGAGATTCCTCACACTTTTCTGGGTCACTAACACTATCACTTTTGTCTGCTTCATTTGCTGTAGCAGAATTGACTGCTGTAGGTTTTGTCTCTTCTTCAACATGATCTATGTTATTTTCTCCCTGACTCTTCAAGAAATCCTCAAACGACACCGTTATTATACTATCATTTGCCTGTGAAGTCTTATCATCCCCATGAACTTCAGAACTGGGATCACTAATAGTAGCACCACACTCTGCTGTTGTAGGAGATACCATCTTTTTCTTATCTTCAGTTTCCTTTTCACACTTTTCATTCAACTGATTTTCAGATGAAAAACTTTCAGACGAATCCATATTTACTTTGTGCTTCCTCTTCCTTGATTTTCTTATCCTATTTTTTGTACCGTTTATTTCGGAACCAATTTTCTTTACATTTTTCCTGTAGAGGACAGCATCTGAGGTGTTCTCTCCTTGCACATTATCTTCTGCCAATTCTCTTGCACATTTTGGGTCAACTGAAGTGCAAGTAGCAATAACATCATTACCGTCCTGTTTCAGTCCTGTTGTTTCTCTGCTGTCATCACCGCTAACTTCAATTTCATGTTCATTCTCAGGTTCTTTCATCTCTCTCATCTTATTATTTAGATTAACTCTCTTCCCTTTCCTCTTCCGCTTTAAAGATGGTTTAAAAGGTGGCTTACAGTCTTTGTCATCAGCATCCAATGGTGTTTTATCTTCTCCAGCTACAACTGGTAACATAGCTTTCTCAGTTACAGATGTCTTTTTAAAATAATCCAATATATTATTGGCTTTTGGTGGTGACAACACTTTATCCGCTGGTTTTGCTAATGGCGAAAAATACTTTGTGATTGTCTTTACAGAAGTATCTTCCTCTCGCCGTTTCTTGCATGGCTATAAAAAAGGTTAACATTAGTCTTAGTTTCTAAAAATTTAAGATGACTTACCATGGTAATATAAAGCAGTACAATATCAGTATATTACTGACACTAGGACTTTTTCTGAGGATTAAGAACTCAAGTCAATGCGCTAAGATTGTGTGCACATCAACTTGACCTTCACCTTTTCAAAAGCCAGTTAAGCTTGCAATAAAGATTCTACCAGTTAAAAAAAAACAAAAAACCCTACCTAGTTTTGAGACTGACAAAACTTAAAGTGACAACAAGGTCCTCAGAACAGTTCTGCAGATATTTTGTAACACTGGAATTCAGAAAATCTACTTGAGTTGATCTATCTATGAGTTACCTTGAGACAGTCACCAGGGCATTTGTAGAGCAATGAGTTGCGACATCAGTTAACAATGTATGATCCTACCATAAAGGAAACCCCTAGCTTATCTTAAGAAGAAACTATACCTTTTAAAATACTTAAAGAAAGCTAATATGTGAGAACTCATCTCTCACAATTCAAAATCAATTCTCTCTTCAAAAGAGAATTTATCTGTGAAGACGGCTCCCCAAGCCTACTACAACTCTCCTAGCTCATTAAAAACCGAGCTCTCTGAACTCACACCACCTGAAACTGAAAACGCTCCTTCCCGAGCCCACCGGGGGCTCCGCCGAGGTGCCCCCGTTCCATGACAGCCCGGCCGGGGGCTGCCCAGCGCCGGCTGCGGGCGCGCCCCATACCCGAGCGGGGGCACCGCAGCACCGGGGCGGCGTTTGCGGTCTCCTCGCTCCCACCGCCCGGCAAAGGGCCGCCCTCAGCCCCCACCCCGCCCTCCGCCCTCACAGCGCGGCCCCGGCCCGCCGCCGCCTCCCCACCTGAGCCTCGCCGTCTTTCGCGGGGAGGGAGGCGGCCGCCGCGGCCACGGCGACCCTGCCCACCATGCCCCAGGCGCTGGCGGGGAGCGGAGCCC